TGTGTGTGTGTGTGTGTGTGTGTGTGTGTGTGTGTGTAAGGGCACCCATGTTGTACAATGCCTGAGGAGGTCAGAAGAGGGCTTTGGATCCCCTGGCACTGGAGTTATAGACAGTTGTTAGTTGCCATGTGGGTACAGGGAACTAAACCCAAGTCCTCTGCAAGAGCTGAGGTCTTAACTGCTGAGCCATCTCTCCAGTCCCCTGGAATGCTCTCTCTCTCTTTCTCTCTCTCTCTCTCTCTCTCTCTTTCTCTCCCTCTCTCTAGGTAGGTCAGACAGAGGCTTGCTCTGTAGTTCAGACTGGCTTTGAATTCATGATCCTCCTGCTTCAGCTTTCTGAGTGGCCGGGATTACAGGTGTGTACTGTCGTATATGGCTGTTTTCTTGCAGTGCTGGGGAGTAAACCCAAGGCCTTTGTGTTCTAGGAAAATGCTCTACCATTTGGCTAATTCACAACCCTACCATTCGTTTCTTTCCCTTTTTTTAAACTGAATTTTTGAGAATTTCATACAATGTATTTTTTTGATCATATTTAGAACCTCTATTTGCACCTCCCCTTACTACCCTCCACCCACCAAATTTCCTGTACTGTAATACACACACACACACACACACACACACACACACACGCACACACACACACACACACACACACACACAGACACAGGCCTATAGAATCAAGTTTGTGTCCACAAATGCCCTTTGATGTGGGTTCATCAACTGGTCAGTCTGCCAAGAATCTCACTCTTAAATGAGACTGACTCTCCCCCTCTGAGCAGCTATTGGTTGCCAATACTTCCTCAGGTGGTGTTGAGATTTCTTGTCCACGTCCCCACATCTATGCTGGGATTTGTCTGGTTTGAGCTTACGTGGGGCTTATGCATGCTGTCACCATTGCTGTGAGTTCATATGAGTAACTGACCAGCTGTTTGGAAAATTCTATTTCCTTGTGGTCATCCACCTTCTCTTGGCTCTTATGATCATTCCACCTTCATTTCCACAATGATCCCCGAGCCTTGGGAGGCAGTAGTTTGATATAGGCGTCCTACTGAGGGATAAACAGTCTGCAGCCTCATAGTCTCAGCACATTCTGTCACCCTTTTTTTGAGGCAAGAACTACTGTGTAGTCCTGGCAGGCCTGGAACTTACTATGTTGCCAGGGCTGATCTTAAACTAATGGCAATCTTCCTGCCTCAGCCTCCCGTGTGCTGAGATGACAGCCATGAGCCACCATGCCTGGTTTTTCTGGTGTGTGTGTGTGTGTGTGTGTGTGTGTGTGTGTGTGTGTGTATGTGTATGCATGTGTGTGTTGCATTTGTTTTCATGTGTTTATATGCAGGTACACATGTGTGCACATACATGTGGAAGCCAGAGGTCCTCAATTGCTCTCCACTTTATTTTCATTTCATTTGAAGTCCAAGAGCAAATTTATTAGAGTTTAACTGAAAAAACCAAAAAAACCAAAATCTCAGGTCAGGCAGTCTGTAATCTCAGCAGCTGCCAGGAGGAAGAGACTGGAGGAGAGAAGAAAAGAGCTGTCCCACGTGTGCCTGTATGGAGGTCAGACAAACAGCCCCATGGCAGGGAGCAGCATTAGAGAGAGTGAGGATGCCCAACATGTTGGGAAAAGCATGCTTAGAAAAGAGAAAGAAGAAAAGAGAGGTTGCATTTTTCTGAAGAATTGATAAAAGCAGACAGGCTTGCAAAGCTGCACGTCTGTGGCCCTGTAAACGACTGCCTCTTTTTATTTTGTCTCTCACTGAATCTGGAATGCACTGATTCTGAGAGACTGGCTGGCCAGCAAGCCCTGGGGCCCTTCTGTCTCTGCTTCCTCAGCACTGAGATTACAGGTATGTAACACCACACCTGTTTCTTATGTGGGTGCTGGAAATCTGAACTCAGGTCCTAATCTTGTGTGGCAAGCACTTTATCAATTGAAGCATCTTCCAGTGCCCCCCTTTAAAAATTTTTTTACTTATTTTTATTTTACATATATGAGTTTTGCCTGTACCTATGTAAGTGTACCCATGTCATATAATGCCTACGGAGGCCAGGAGAGGACATCAGATTCCCTGGAACTGGAATTGTGGATGGTTGTCAGCTGCCCTGTAGATGCTGGGAACTGAGCCTAGGTCCTCTGAAAGAGCAGCCAGGGCTCTTAACTGCTGAGTCATCTCTCCAGCCCCCCCCCTTTCATTTTTCATGATTGTACTTAGCATTGGCTGTAGAATTCCTTGAGGACATTTTCAAAACATAAAAACTTAAAGTCTCAAACTGGGCCCGTTGTTAAAGCCTGTTCAGTGCTCTTCAGTGCTAGTTCAGCCTTTTCATCTTCTGGCTACAGTCGTCCACAGGTATCCACGAAGGATACTGTTTCCAAGACCTCCTATGGATACTGAAAGTCCAAGGATGCTCAAGTTTATATAACATACATGCATATCTTCTGGAATATTGTAAATCTACTCTGGATTGCTTATTCTACCTAACACAGTGTAAATACTGTGCAAATAGTTGTTATATCACATCATTTAGGGATTAATGTCAAGAAAAATGTCTGTACATATCTAGGATAGCTGCAGTCACTGTAGGCCTAACTACATTGGTATGTGAGCCTCAGTCAGTTGACTCTGCAGATGCAGAATGTCAATGGGCAGACAAACCTGAGGAGAGGCAGTTGTCACCCCTTGTCTCCTTGCAGGCAGGCAGTGCTGGTACGGTCAGGATAGAGCAGGATGTGGGAGGAACGTGAGGCAGAGTGATGGATGAGGGGGTAAGGAGGCTCCAGGTGCCTCAGTAGACATCCACAAAGACCTGATCTCCACAAGTAGATATGGGGAGTGTTTGAGATCTCTTTAGGAGCTAGACTCAAAGTACCAATCTTCAGTCTTAGGCTGAGAGAGACAATGCCAGTGCCCTTGCTGGGTTCCTGTGGAGATGGAAGTAAAAGGACAGAGAGGCCAAGACGGGGCCGGGAACCACTTTTTGTGTGGACATGTCAATGTTAGAACCAGCCACATGGCACAGAAATAGAATTGTACAATATGTGGCCTCTGTGCCTGGCTTTGCTCATTTAACGTGTTTTCAGGGTTCAACTGTGTCCTAGTTTGCTTTTCTGTTGTTGTGATGTTATGTTGTTAAACACTGTGAAAAGCAACTTGGGGAGGAAAGGGTTTATTTTATCTTTCACTTTACAGTCCATTGTCAAGGGAAGCCAAGGCAGGAACTCAAGGAAGGAGTTTGAAGCAGAAACCATAGAGGAATTCTGCTTACTGGCTTGCTCTCAGGTTCACATTCAGATACTTATACAGCCTGGGCCCACCTGCCTAGGCATGGTACCACTCACCGTGGGCTAGGCCCTCCTACGGCAATTAGCAATCAAGAAAATGCCCCCCCCCAAGGAAAGAATGTAAGAGCCAAGGGTACAAGACGCTTGCTGCTAGTTAATGCATTCTAGATATGCCAGGGAAGCTGTACCAGTGAAATCTGCCCAATATGGTAGTCTAACAAGATCTACATGACAAATCCAGTTGATATACTAAGGTGGACAGGGGAAATTTCATGGGATCCCACATCAAGATGAAGAGCTATAGACAATCAAGGATGCTGAGGGAGGGAGAATTAGTTTTCTCTAAGGACTAACTCCCTGAGAGATCATTTAACCCCATTTGGGCAACCTTAACACAGGTACACATAAACAACACTAAATGAACTTAATGCATGATATAGATGTATACTTATAAATGTATGCATGTATATAACAATACTAATCATCATCAAAGGAGAGGACAAGTAATTGAGAGGGAGCGAGGGGGGACGAGGGGGGAGAGGGCTTGGAGCGATGGAAATAATGCATATACAATATGAAATTCTAAATAAAAAGAAAAAGAAGCCGGGCGTGGTGGAACATGCCTGTAGTCCCAGCACTCGGGAGGCAGAGGCAGGCTGATCTCTGTGAGTTCAAGGCCAACCTGGTCTACATAATGAGTTCTAGGACAACTGGGCTACAGGAGATCCTGTCTCAAAAAGATCAAAAAAGAGAAAAGAAAAAAGAAAAAAAAAGAAAAAGAAAAAGAAAATGCCCCACAGACATGCCCACGAGCCAATCTGATGGAGGCAATTCTTCAATTGTGGTTTCCTCTTCTAGGTGCATCAAGTTGCTAGCAAACCTTAGCCATCACACACTGATACTAGATGGTGGGGTCTTGTGGTAGAAACAGTAGAAATGAGACCCAGCCAGCAGCTCTGAACAAGGCAGGCGAGGCTGCTTTCTGGGGACTTCTGCCAAGCTGGCTGATTTGAGTTGAAAGGAGCTAGCACTGACCAGAGGTGACCAGGCTGCTCACTTAAAGGAACAGAAGACTTCATTGATTCCCCTTTTGAGAGTGAACTGAACTTTGATAATTACTTGTTGGTCACTGGAATAGTTTCAAAAGATGTTCTTATGTGCAGATATTCTGACCTTGTGCTTGCTGGTAGACAACAGGTAGACAGCTTGGGTGGGCTCAGACATCAGAACTCTGGGTGACTCTGACAAAGTTGGGGACCCACTGGGGTATAAACTAAGAGTGATACTTCTGAGTTGCAGGCAGTTAGGTGTCTGGAGTAGTTGCTGCCTGTTAGGCTCCATCAGCAGTGGCTAGAGTGCCTACAGGGGGATGCATACGTTCCAGGCATTGCTGACCGCCAGACTTCCTTGTGTCCTTTTATGGTTGGGTTTGACTGGTCTTCTGTTCCAGAGATATAGGTATGGGAAGATTTTCCTCCCCTTCCTCTTTCAGGTTGTACTCTTTCTCAGCAAGCAGAGCTGACCCCTGCTGATAGGCAGCTTGGATGTTCCCATGGATGCAACCTCCCATCAACTGTGTATTTGTCCCAACAGGAATACATGCACCACCTGCAGGCCCTGGAGCACCGTGCCGAGGAGCAGTTTCTGGAGCACTGGCTGAACCCTCATTGTAAGTCCCACTGCAACAGGAATGGGGTCTACCCTGTGTAAAGTGCCTGGGACCCTTGGTATGTCCTAGGCTTTCTACTGGGGGTGGGTGGCTGTGGACAGCATGTGCATGGGCTGTGAGACCCTCTGGGGCAGTGGTTAGCTGCTTGTGGGTTAGGAGGTGACAAGAATAAGATGGGAGAGCCAGCCAAGAAAGAGCAGGGGAGCAGGCTGGCCACCAAGAGAGCCCAGATGGGGAAGGGGATGGTACCCTATTTGCCATCTAGAAAAGATCTCTCTGGACGAGAATCTACATTGTTGACAGCTGGGTCTCTCCAGGCCAGATCAGCATCAGTCAGCTTTACTCATGACATCTGCCACAGTCATCAGCGTGGCCTCTGCACCAGAATCAGCACCTTCCTGGGCATGGCTTCATCCTTCACTGCCTCCCCCTTAGTCTTCCCACAGCAGCCTGTGCAGCCCTTTTCTCCTGGGCTGCTCATCCAGTCCACCTGTAGCAGGCTGCTCAAGGTTCCCAGTACCCAACCTTCGCTTCCCTGTTCCTAGAGATTGTAGCCCTGGCTGACCTGGAACTCACTAGGTAGACTAGGCTTCCCTTGAACTGACAGAGATCCACCTGCATCTGCATCCTGAGTGCTGGGATTAAAGGCATGTGCCACCATACCCAACTTTCCCTCTCTTTTTTGAGACAAATTGCATGTAGATAAGGATGACTTTGAACTTTGGGTCCTTTTCCCCCTTCACCTCCCAAGTGCTGGGCTTACAGGAGTATGCCACCACACTCAGTTTTATGTGGTGCTGGGGACTGAACCCATGGTTTCAGCATGCTGGGAAGCATTCTAAACAAATGATATATGTCTGCAGTCCCAAAAGTGTGTCTCTAGCATAGCTGCATTCTTGTCAGGATGGTTGCAGTAGGGTTGGCTCCATACTCCCAGGCTGCCACTTCCCTCTGCTCCAGGGACCTTTGTTTTCTATCACCGGAAACTCTTATTGGGTTTCTTCCAGAAAACAGCTGTGGGGGCCAGCAAGATGTTTCAGCTGGTAAAAGTACTTGCCACCAAGCCGGATGACCTAAATTTGATCCCTGGGACTCACATGGTGAAAGGAGAGAACCAATTCCTGCAAGTTGTCCTCGGATCTCCATACATGACTGTGGCTCAAGGGCATGTACACACACAATTGTTAAAACGAGAGAGAGGAGAGAGGAGAAAGGAGAGAGAGGAGAGAGAGGAAGAGGAAGAGGAGGAGGAGGAGGAAGAGGAGGGGGAAGAGGAGGAGGAAGAGGAAGATGAGGAGGAGGAGGAGGAAGAGGAGGAGGAGAGGAGGAGGAGAAAACAGATCTGTGGGATAGTTAGAGACTCAGACTCAGGAGTTGACCAGAATGAGCTTGCCTCTGTCTCAGCTCTGCAGACTCAGGCAAGCTGCTTCTCCACTCTTGAGATTCTGTTTCTGCATCTGAACAATGATGATGTCTCTGGGGCTCAGTAAATGACTTCTTAAACAGAATCATTTGTTACTGCCATGCAAGGCTGCTGAGAAGAGGGGGTGTTTGGGTGTATAGTCCCCATGGCTTAACCCTCTAGGGGTGACTGAAGTCTCTGTTTAGTGGGATAGGTCCCTGTCAGGAAGTCAAGGACCTGGATCCTACAAACATGGGGTTCCACAAAGGTCTCATTCCAGATAGCTCCCACTTACAGGGAGACAAGGAATTGGTAGCTACAGGGGTGGGTCAGCCTGGAATTTAGAGTCAAATAGCTTGTAAATCCTGAGCCCACTAGTCATTGGCTGAATGTAGAAAAATGACTTGACTTTTTTGTTTCTCCTGTAAAATGAAGCTAATAACAGATTCTCTTGTGTGCTGTCCTAAGGATTCAAAAAGTCCGCAATGGGCCTGGAGACATGGCTTAGTAGTTAAAAGTGCTTGCTGCTCTTGCAGAGGACCTGAGTTTAGTTTTCAGCACTCACGTTGGGTGGCTCACAATCACCTCTAACTCCAGCTCTAGGGGACCTGATGCCCTCTTCTGGCTTTTGGGGGCACTGAAATGTATGTGCACACACACACACACACACACACACACAATAAATAATAAAACAAATCTAAAAATATTAGTGTATGGAAGATGGAGTTACTCTGGTGCTCACAATAGGAACTGCTCAAGAAATGACAGCTGGGGGCTGGAGAGATGGCTCAGCTGTTAAGAGCACTGGCTACTCTTGTAGTGGATCTGGGTTTGAGTCCCAGAATCCACATGGCAGCTAACAACCATTTATAACTCCAGTTCCAAGTAATCCAACACCCTCTTTTGAGTTCTGTGGGCATTGCAGGACACAAGTGAGCTTACACATACACACAGGCAATACACTTATCTATATAAAATACAAATAATAAAATATTTTATGAAAAGAAAGGACAGCTGGTGGCTGCTTCCTTCTCTTTCTTTACCACATCCTAACATTGTTTTCTCATCCTTTCCTTTTCCAGCAAGCATCTTGACAGGCAGTGACCTGGAGGATGCTGAGACAGGCAAGGCTCCACCTTCCATTTGATCAGAAACTGCAGAAATGGATGTCTTCGGACCCCAGGAACTTGTGGCCCTTATGGACAGGCCAGGAATTGCCTTGGGGGTGGGTGACCAATATGTAGTCTGCTTCATTTTACTAACCTGCTTACATCATGAAAACTAAGGGCTTAAAGTGCAGAGCCCCTGAAGACTGTCTTACTAGGGTGTCAGTGTGGGCAGAACCCAAGTCTTCCCTAGAGGAATGGAGTAGAGTGTGGAGTGTGGAAGGTACTGGACAGGCTGCCTGTTCTGGGGATCTTGGGGTCATCTTGCTCAGAAGTGGGAAACACACTACTTGCAGCTGCTGAATTTGGGGTCATCTGTTTTTTTCTTTCTTTGAGGCTCTAATAAAAGTTGGTGTTTAATCTGCTTCCTGCGTGTCTCTTTTCCTACAAAAAGAGGAGCAGGGATTCTCTTCCCTTGCTTTCTTTTTTATAAATCCAGTATCAGAAAATGTACTGCTCTTTACCTAGATGAATGGTGGCAGGTGAGATAGCTCAGTGGGTAAAAGCACCTGCCACAAAGCCTGTTGGCCTGGGTTCCATCCCTGGGACCCACATGGTAGAAGGATGGAACAGATCCCTGCAAGTTGTCCTCCGACTTTCATAAGCACAGCATGGCATGCATGCATCCACTCACATGCACACAAATGTACACTAAATAAAAATGTAATAAAAATTTAAAATAAGTTGAACTATGAGCGCTCAACAATTTTGCGCAAGGGCTACTTTTATTTATTTTTTTGATAAAGAGGAAATTTCCCCAGGGTTAGCGCAATAGGACCATAACTCTGTTCTGGGCACACACCCAGCCTTCTAGCAAAGGAGACATTTCTTGTGGAAAGGGGAGTACTGCTCTGTGTCCGTCGCCCTCACTTGTGCCTCAGTTCTGGAATAGAGATCATATAGTCAAAGGTCAACCAAGGTGACATTGGGAGGGTGAGGGGGGGTTGCCCTGAGTGGTTCCAGGGATGGGAGAATCTGGCACCCTCCAAGAAGGGTAAGGCAGATGCCCTACACGAGGTCTGGGGGTCTGCCCCAGGGAGGCTGGGCAGGCTTGTCTAGGGAGAAAGTTACTGAACCTCCCTATAACAACATGAAAGAAAGTGACAGAACAAAAAAGGAGTCCCTTTCGTCAATCCTGACCTCCCGGACCGGCCCCCCCCTCCCGCACAAAAACCTCCAATAGATAATGTTGGCAGGTTATGAAGTAAGGGTTCTTACATGTGATTGCCTGATAGGAGCTATCAAACAAAGGTCATGAAACCTTACGTAGAAAGTTCTATAGGGACACCTGCCCAGCAACTATCTGTTCAACTTGGGACTGATAGTGTTTTGTTATTAATTGTCATGACTGAGGATTATGGATTCAAAATATTTGATATAATCTTTCTCATTTTTATCTTGAAGCTCCCCGTTTGCTTCTGCCTCTTTGAACATGCCTAGAGCTTACTATGACATCTGTGTTCCTATTACAGTGTTGATCTCAAAGAAATATTATATTTTGGAGAATCTGTCGTATTTTAGAGAATACTTAGGTGGACAAGCATCATCTAATCTTTAGAGATTAGACAACCAAAACTCAACAAAAGCAGATACTTGGAGTGCAGGAGAAGGGCCCTGAATGGCTCCTGGGAGGGAAAATCTGACATCCTTTCCAAATGCAAGTCCCTGATTGAGATCTATCGCTATGAAATTGGTAGCTCAGTTTCTGTGTGGTTCAGTATTCTGGTTCCCTGCCCCTCTGTCTGTCTGTCTCTTTTCTCCTCCCCCTCCTTTCTGTGCCTGGCCTGTGCCTGTGCCCCAGGAGTTCCTCTTCTCTGGTGACTTAGTGGCAGGTGTGCAGCCATGTTCTCAAAGTGTGGCACTGGGGCAGGCAGGCAACGAGTTACTCTTGTAAATCTCCAGGTCCCACCCAGTCCTCTCCTTCCTCAGGACTCTGGATCCAGAAGCACTTGGAGTTTGGGAATCCAGAGCTTCCTGGAACTTCATGATGCTGTAATGGATCTGAGTGTACCTAGGAGACCTGGGCCTCCTGTCTTTCCCTCAAGTCTCTGGTGGATACTCTCAGACTTTACTGTGTAGCTGACACTGCCCTAGGTCCAGGAAGTGAACAAAATAAACAAAGCTGATTTTGTGTGCATGCACATGTATGTGCAGTAGTGAGTGTCAATGTGTTTGCGTGTGGCGGCAAAAGTCAACATCTCATGTCTTCATCAATCTCTTTCCAATTTATTTTTTGAGACAGAGTCTCTCACTGAACTGGAGCTCACTGATTAGCTAGTCTGGGTGGTCAGTGAATCCTCAAGTCTCTGCCTCCTGGATTTGGGACTATCATGCGGCTTTATTATATGGCTGTTGGGGATCTGAACTCAAGTCTTCCTGCTTGTGCAGCAAATCCATCACCCACTGAGCCATCTTACCAGCATCCCAAAGTTGATTAATTTTTTTGACATTTGTTAATTTATTGTGTGTAGGTGTGTATACATGTGCATGCGCATGCTATGACATGAATATGGAGGTCAGAGGGCAACTTGTAGGAATCGGTTCTCTCCTTCTACCATGTGGGCTCCTGATAGTGAACTCAGGTTGTCAGGCATGCAAGGAAAGTAATTCATCTCTCCAGCCTTAGTCCAGCCATTTTAAAATATATAACTCAATGGTGTTTTGCGTATTCACGGTGTTGGTGTAACCAGCACGCTGTCTAGTGCCTGACCACTTTGTTACCTACACATGAGACCCCATTTGCAGTCATTCTCTGTTTCTCCCTTTCCAGCCCCCAGCAATACCAGCCTGCTTTTTGTATGTATGAACTGGCCTATTCTGGGTATTTCATATGCATTAAACCATGTGATGTGTGTTTTTTCATCTCTGACTTCCTTTACATAGTCTGTTTTTCAGGATTTTGTTGTTGCAGCATTATTAACATTCCTTTTGCAGGCCAACTAATATTCCATTGCTTGGTTATGTACCATTTGGTTGACACATTCGTCGGTGGGTGGGTATTTGGGTTCTTTCTACTTTTTAGTCCTCATGAGTAGTACTAACATTCTGCTATAAACATTCATGTACATGTCTTTGTTTGAGTAACTTTTCTATTCCATTGAGTCTATACTTAGAGTAGAATTGCTGGGTCAGATGTGACTTCCCTTGTCTCTCTCTCTCTCTCTCTCTCTCTCTCTCTCTCTCTCTCTCTCTACATGTGGGTAGAGCCCAGAAGACCGTCTTGGATGTGTCAGGAACTCCATCTACATTATTTATTTATATTTTCTGTATATGACTGTTTTGCCTGCATGTATGTAAGTGCACCATGTGCATGCAGTGCCTGTGGAGGCCAGAAGAGGGCACTGAATCCCTTAGAACTAGAGTCATGCATAGTTGTTAGCTGTCATTTGGGTGCAGGGAACTGAACATGGGTCCTCTACAAGAGCAAACAGAGCTCTTAACCACTGAGCCATCTCTCCAGTCCTGATCTACTTTACTTTGAGTCAGGGTCTCTTGTTGGCCTTTTGCTCACTTGTTAGGCTAGGCTGGCTGGTTAGTGAGCCCCAGGGATCCAGTTGTCTCCACCGTCCCCTCAACCCTGGGATTACAGTGAGCATGCTACCACACCAAACCCAACTTAAAAAAAAAAAATCCTATTTTTTTGAGATAGGGTCTCCCTGTAGCCCCAGCTGACCTGGAACTTGCGATGTAGACCAGTCTCACAGATTCACCTGCCTCTGCCTCCCAAGTGCTGGGATCAAAGGTGTGCACCGCCATACCTGACTAAAATTTTTATTTTCAAAATAGGCTCCAGGAATTGAATTCAGTCCTTGTGCTTGCAAGGCAAACACTTTATCCCCTGAGCTATGTCCCTTGCCCTCTATTGAACTTTTTGAGGAGCTGCTGTTCTCCATGGCAACCTCATTTCATGTTCCCACCAGCAGTGCACAAGCATCGAGACTTCTCTGAGTCATTGCCAACAACTTAATATTTTGTGATTAAAACAAGTAGGCACTCCTTGTGTGTGTGTGTGTGTGTGTGTGTGTGTGTGTGTGTGTGTGTAAGCTGCCTTAGAAGCCACGGAAGATTTGTTGAACCTGTTACCACTGCCGGCCGAGACTCAACGCTGCTGCCATGTCCTGCTACCTGCGCCCTCCCAACACGTCTGTGTTGTCAGGAACATGGCGGATGACACCAGGTCTGAAGACTTGTGGCGAGAATTTAGTCATTATGGTCCTATAGTTGATGTGTATGTTCCACTTGATTTCTACACTTGATGTCCAAGAGGATTTGCTTATGTTCAATTTGAGGATGTTCAAGATACTGAAGATGCTTTATATAATTTGGACAGAAAATGGATTTGTGGGCAACAAATTGAAATATAGTTTGCACAGGGCGATTGAAAGACACCAAATCAAATGAAAGCCAAGGAAGGGAAGAATGTGTACAGTTCTTCACGCTATGATGATTATGACAGTTAGAGACGTCTAGAAGCCGGAGTTATGAAAGGAGGAAATCAAGGAGTCAGTCTTTCGATTACAACTATAGGAAGGCTAAATCACATTCTAGAGCTGCATCCACACCAAAAGTAGAGGCACCTCTAAAACAGATTCCAAAACACATTATAAGTCTGGCTCAAGATATGAAAAGGAATCAAGGAAAAAAGAACCGCCTAGATCCAAATCTCAGTCAAGATCACAGTCTAGGTCTAGGTCAAAATCTAGATCAAGGTTTTGGACTAATCCTAAGTCCACTGGCCACTGATAGTATAAGTCATGATACTTTCTAGACATGTGTCATTCATTTACTCATAGTTTGATATACTTAAATTATCAGGACTACAATGTTGCAATGATGTGTTTAAAAAAAGAACAACACTTTGTTAGTTTCCCTATACCAGCCAATGGTTCTAATTAAAATGATATGCTGTTGAGAAGCCCCCCTCCAAACAAACAAACAAAAAAATGAAGTAGGCACTCCTGATGGGTGTGAAAGGGAGTTTATTGTAGTTTTGATCTTCATTTCTCTAATGACTAATAATAATTGTGAACATCTTTTCATGTGCTTATTGGTCGTTTCTGTATCTTTTGGGGAGAGAAATATCTAAGTCCTTCCATCATTTAAAATGTCATTAGAGGGGCTGGAGAGATGGCTCAGCGGTTAAGAGCATTGACTGCTCTTGCAGAGGACTCAGGTTCAATTCCCAGCATCCACATGGCGGCTACGAACCATCTTTAACTCCAGTTCCAGGAGAATCTGAAGCCCTCTTCTGATCTCCGTAGCATTGCACGACACGGATGCACTCACATACATACAGGCAATACACTCATACACACAAAATAAAAATAATA